AGTGTTTCTGTGATTTCTGTGATAATTGTGTTGTACTTACATGCTACAACAGTATAATGAAGACTAACAATAATGTTTTGTCGTATAATCGCTAATGCGTGAAAAGAGCTTGCTGTTTAGAAATTCAAATAATTCACTTTTTATTGCAGTAAGGTGTGAAAACAATCTTACTTTTGTATTAGGGAGAGAGGAAAAGTTTGCTCTTCAGAAAATAACTCGGGGTAATTCTGTTTTAAAATTTATCTGAAAGAAATTCTAGGGATTGGTCTAGAAAGCTGACACAGCGTGTAAAGGCCAACACCAGTAAGAAACGGAAAGTCTCACTTCTTTTTGATCACCTTGAGCCAGAGGAGCTGTCAGACCACCTTACCTATCTTGAATTTAAGTCTTTCAGAAGGATATCAGTAAGTGATTTTTATTTGTTTATTTATTCATTCATTTATTTTGAACAAAGATGGGAAGGACATTGAAAAGATGGGAGAGGGGTAGTATTACAAGATTAACCCTGCAGTGCAAGCTGTTGGACAAGCTGAGTCTGTGTCCAGGTTCTTTTTGTTTTACTAGTGTTAAGGTGACCAGTGGTACTTACATACCCTTTTGCTGCAGTCATCTGAGAGAGGGAGAGTGAAACTTTTAAGCAACTGTGGAACAATTGGGGCAAGGTCAGTTGAAAGGAGGAGTAGTAAACCATTTGATCTTCCAAATAATCTCTTTTTTTTTTAGAACAAGTGGTGTCACTGGGCACAGGAACAAGCAGCCTCCTTTGACTCAAATCAGTAATCAAGCTGAAATGGGATGAAGGAGACTTGGAATATTGTCCTAGAATGCTAACCTCCTGTGGCTGTAGGAAACAGTGCAGCATTCTTGTGCAGTGACTAATGGACTGTCTGTATAGAAGATGTCCACTGGACTCTGGCTTGCCATTTTTGATTGTGCATAACAAAATAAAGACTAGGGATAAGAAAGCACTTGAAAATGCCTTTTTTTTAATGTAAGGGGGGGGTAAGATATTTTATTGGGCAAGCTTTCAAACACAAACCATTCTTAAAGATTTAGCTCATGTATGTTTTCTTTCATTTTATTTGTTTTCTCAGCTACGTTAGATAAGATGCTAACTCCCCTATGCACCTTGGCTTCACTTGTATCCTTGTATGGTACAACATTACTTCTGTTCAAAGCTGATGCGGTTCACACATGGAAAAGAAAAGTGAACATTACAGACCAAATTCTGAGATAGTCGCAAAGTCAGCGTGATGATAATAGTGAAAGCAAAGTGGTTTTGTTTGTTTGCTTGTTTTCATTATTTAGTGGTTTGGGGTTTTTTTGGAAACACTACAATTCTAAGGTGGAAGTCTTGTAAGGACGGAAAAGATTTCAGTCATGTGTTAGTGTACTTTTATCTGGAGCTGACAGTACATGACTCTTCCTGTTTTATGTTAAATTCAAAAAGCCAGAGGACTAAAGTCATGCACAGATTGCTGCTTGTAGGCAGTATAATATGCAAAGCTGAGTCTTAACATTTTCAAGCTCTGTGCAGTCATAAAGTAATTAATGATTAATGAGCATAACAAGTATGAGTGTAGTCAGAGTGCCAGATGTGTCATAGAGTTCCAACAGTTACATACTTGTATACATTTTTATGCAGGGTCCCTGCATATGTTTTGGTATAAATAGTGTTTACTGAGACCTCAGATCAGAAAATAGTGTGTCATTAATAAATAGCTATATTCATTAACTCTGCAAAATGTCTTCATGATATACTAAGCCACAAAATCCTGTTGTTATTCTAACGTGGCAGCATATCCTGGGAGAAAGGCTGCAAATGACCTGCTGTGTTATCAGTCACTGGAATAACTATTCATAGGTTTGGTCATTTGAAAGTCAGAAAGGAATACTTGATCCCCTGAACATATACAGCACCAAGCAAAACCTTCCACAAGACACCATATATCTTTCAACAAAGAAAAATGTGGGGATTGGTGTGCACAGAGTAATGACTGCAGGTGTACTGGTGTTTGGAAACCATTTTAATTTATAGTTATAAGATACAGGGAGGCTACACTCTTTTGTAAGAATCTGGATTCTGCTTTCCTGTTGAAGCTCAGAAGTTAGTCACTGCAATACCAGACTCTTGCATTATTTAAGTACCTGGACTTCTTTACCATATCTGCCACGAACAATCTTTTTACAGCTGAGCTCATATTATGTTAGATATTAAAAAAAAAAAATATTTTCTGAAGAAGAGAGCTGCTGAGAACAAACTAATCAAACTGATTCATAATTGTACTGAAACTGCAATGAAGTCCATAATTATGTAGTCAGGTATCAAAAAATTATCTGTCTATGTAGAGTAGCTGCTTAAATTTCAAGATGCATCCAGATCTGGCTGGGGTTCAAAATTCAAACAATAATTGCAAGTAAGTACTATGTAATCTCAGAGACAGCTCTACTTATTACTGTTAATATTTCTTCCATTTTTAATTTAATAAGAGGACAAATCCAGACATGTCTGCTCTCATATCTGCTTTTTAAAGCATTAATGTTTTTCCATCCACTTAGTAATAACTATTAAAAAGTGGAGAGAAAGTGAGAGAGGGAGAGCAAGAAACAAACAGCAGCCTGACAATTTATGACCTTTTCTTAAGGATCAGTGGCATTCAGAATATTCCTCTGGCCTTAAGAAAGGAATATGTGTCTACTACACCTCTGAATGTTTTCGGTAAGATGTCAGTATTAATGGTCATAGTAAAGAATGGATGTATAAATAGTGTGTCACATTTTCTGATGATTCAAATGCTGGTGTATCCTTGTTAATGGATAAATCAAGAGAATGGATAAACATTGCATCAGCAAAATAAAATTATTGTTTCTCTTTTGATATTATTGGGAAGAATGGCTTGAAAAAATCTATTTGTCACATACAGGTGTCTACTGAACTACTTTAGATCACTTTGATTAAAGAAAAGAATCTCCCAAGCTGCATTAAAAATACTAAGGAATCTGTAGGCCTCATTCGTAATGGTCTTATCTCAGTTTTCTATTAATCTCATTGAATTTGCTTTTTGTATTAGTGTAGCTTAATTCAGAAGTGAGACCTAGGTACATAAACTGAACACTTCCTTAAACTTCCTTAAACTATCACTGAGTTACTAGATTACACTTTAAATTCAGTTTAACCTTACCTGTAGAAGCCTTGATGCAATGAATCTATGGAGGCACCGGGGCTGGGAGGAAAGCCCCAGTTCTACTCATCCTAGGGTTTATAAGAACCAAGGCTCCTGAGATATACATGATGCAAATGATGTGATAGAAACTATGGCGAAAAGATGCTTTCAGTTAATTCAATTAGTTGAAGCCTTCTGCTTTGAACTGAACAAAGCTTTGACAAAGTAGAGATTTCAGTCTTACAGATATTTAAGTTATAAAATACATCTTGCGTATTTCATTTGAAAAGTAGACATGTAACTGCACACAGATCATGAGGTATATGAAACTAGATGAGTTTTGATTTACACTTTTTTGGTTTTTTTAAGTTCTCAGATTATCAGAACTACATTGTGAATAGTTGTGTGAAAGAGAATCCAACAATGGAAAGATCAATTGCCCTTTGCAATGGTATCTCTCAGTGGGTGCAGCTAATGGTCCTCAGCAGACCAACACCACAGCTTCGGGCTGAAGTGTTCATCAAGTTCATTCATGTTGCACAGGTCAGTTAACTTTGACATGTGTAGTGCTTATTTTGTTTTTCTCTGATACAGCCCATGCTACTACTGTAGGGTCAGCTGGGAGTGTTGGCACTGGTCTCCTGATTCATACATAAGCATGCGTATTTGTGTATGCTGTGGTTTCATACCAAGTATTCAGATACTACAGTGTCATGGCATCATGACTTTCTCATACCCATTCTGAAGAAAGAGTTTTCTCTGAAAAACTAGACTTGCTTTTGAATCAGCTGGTAAGATTCCAAGCTGTGACTGACCTTTCCAGAGCGTGAACCACTGTCATGCCTTTGGCCATAATTAGAAGCATTTCGACCAGATAACGCCATACTGGATAGAAGCAGAGCTGTGGTCCTAATTGGTATTCTTTGCATACTAATTCAGCTGCAGTCATAACCAAGGTAATAGGCAGTGTTTCCTGGTTATGGTAGACTGTGGGAAGAGGGAGAAGTACTGAGGAAGTACTTTGAAGACTTACTGTATCTGCAGAATTAAAGTCTGCTTTAATAACAGTAGAATAAGTACGTTACACCCAGTAAAATCACAACTCGCTACCAAAATGAATGAAGTCCAATGGATAGTGGCACAAAACTTGTAAGCCTTTAGAGAGAGGCAGTAGAGGAAATGTAGAATTTGGGTGTGCATATTGAACAACTTGCACCTTTAAATAATAAATACTGATATTTTTTTTTGTATGTCAACACAGAAGCTCCACCAGCTGCAGAATTTCAATACGTTAATGGCAGTGATAGGTGGTCTCTGTCACAGTTCCATTTCCAGACTCAAGGAAACGAGCTCATGTGTTCCTCATGATGTAATTAAGGTTGGTACTGCTCCTCTAAGTTTTACAAAGAAGATAACCTTTAACTTTCTTGTCATTGCACACGCAAAACCCAACTTTCCTTCACTGGATAAGATGGAAAGGGGGGCGGGGCTGGATCAGGGGGAGGGAAAAACTTCCTTTGGTTTTGGAGGGTTTTTTCTTTGTCGTTTCATCTCTGACACCAGTTACTCCCATGCTTCCAGCTCCACCTTTCTTGAAGATTTGTATAGCTTCTCTAAAGTTTCCCTTTTAATACTCAGATGTGACGGGCTGCATTTTCATTGATATGCAGTAGTACAGAATAGCATCCAAACATAAAAGCAGAGAACTATATCCTGGAACATTTCAGAACAAAACTATTGTCATCCATAGCAACATCGACCATCCTGAGTCTATTAAATGCTAACACAGAGCTCTGCACTTTGAATTCAAAACCGAAAGGACTGGTTTTGTTCATCTGATCTTTCCCTGTGACAGATTTTATCTAGTTCAGACTTGAACAAACATAGCCCTAATACACACATATAATAATACAGTGGAATGTTAGGAATCAGTTGTAATTTCCAGTTAGATTCTTGTGAAATATAGATGGATATGTTTTTTTGCTGAGATTCCAGCTACTAAAACTGTGAAGGAAAGCATATTTGTCAGCAATGAAATGGCTTCTTAAGAGACTTCGTAAGAGGCTAATATGCTTTATTATTTTATGTTGTTTGGGGCCTGAAAGATTTCATATAAGCATTTAATGAACCTGTTTTGATCACAGTATGATCAGCTTGAATGAACAGTGCATACCTGGAGTATAGACCAGGAGTATAGACCAGTAGTATGACCTCCCACTGATAATGACTGCAGCCCTCAGGATCTATAAAACCAGTTAGCAAGCTTATTTTAGAAGCACATTGTTTTAAAAAATTTTGTCATTATGAGGAGTGGACTGCATATGTGAACATCATTTGAAGAACTTCTTGCATCAAGAAATTCTATAGAAGCGCTAAGAGAAAGCAGGTAAATAAAGGCTGGTAATGAGACTTGAGAACACACTTTAAAGTTTAACTATAATGAATAGTTTGTGAAGATTAAAAATCAAGGGGTTAGTAACTTCCACAAGAAAACATTGGTCCATTGATTTTATAATGTTAAGAGTCATCTTTGTACCTGTACAATTTTAAATAAGGGAAATACTTATACTGCTGGACTTAAGATTCATTTGGCCTTTACAACAAGTCCAATATATTCTTTCTCCTTCATTTCCATGGAAAAAAAGTTTCCTTAACAGCACAGATGTGCCACCTTGAACTGTAGTAGTTCTGGTCATGCTGTGATGGGACCATAGCACAGCACAGGGTTTCTCTGCCACAACTTTCCAATTCCAGCAATTCCGACTGGTGACCTGGAAGCCAGAGAAGTGCATTCCACATTTTAAGGTGAAGATGGTTGCTTTTCTGAAGGTCAAGAGAGCTTGTGCTGTGCTTATGCATTAACTGCGTACACATCCCCTTGATTTGAGAAGATCCTGTTTCTTTTCATTGACTAAACAGGGAATGTAGGAACACCAACATTATAGATTAGGCTATAATTATATATTATAGATAGTTATATTAGGTGAATACCTAGATTTCATTTGAAGCCTAAAGTTTTAAAATCATTTCAAGAGTCATTGTGAGCAAACCCCTTAACAATAACATGGGAAATTCTTGTGCTGTATGACCAGAACAAAAACAGTAACCAATTTTGTTTTTTTGTTTTCGTTTTATTTTTAGGTGTTTAATGAAATGACAGAACTGCTTTCATCTTACAGAAATTATGATAGTTACCGACGTGCCTATAACGAGTGCAGTAACTTTAAGATCCCAATCCTTGGGGTCCACCTGAAAGACTTGATATCACTTTATGAGGGCATGCCAAACTACTTAGAGGACAAAAAAATTAACATATACAAACTATACTCTCTGTATAACCACATAAATGAGCTGATACAACTCCAGGAAATGCCACTTCCTCTGGAGGCTAATATGGACCTTGTTCATTTACTTACAGTAAGTCTTTTAGATGAGATAAATACCTCCATTTTAAAAATAATTTTGTATTCCTCTCAAACAACTAAGTAGAGAATTCCATTAATTATAAATAAATAATATTGTAAGAATTTTTTTTTCCTTAAGGAAATAATAGAAGAGGAGAAAAAGTTAGTGATGCTGTTTTATCTGCAGCAAGGGTAGAGGTGCCAGTTCAGCAGTATGCTTCCAATTCTTCCGTTACAGTAGTATGCATTCTCTGTACTTTCACTAAGGAAGTGCTCCGAATCCTCTGCTGATTAAGTCTAACTAGGGAGAAAGGTAGAAAGCTTCCTTAGATGGACCTTGGAGACAGAAGCTGCAATACAAAGCTTCCTTGTGTTGAACACACAATCTTTCACATAAAAGTTCAGTCCCTCAAGATGTGTAGGGTTAAACCTAGCACAGTTCTAGCTAAGTTCTTCTGGTGCTAAAAAAACTGACATAAACATTAGTCAAATATAGTTGTTACATTGCTCTTCCAGTCATATCTAGTCAGTGCCATGTTACTAAAAAATGTATACTACCTAGGATGTATGTCACAACAATAGTCTTGGCTTCTCCTAGTAAATTAAAATACTACCTTTTATTAAAATAGTAAATCTACCTTTCTTGTTAAGGCCAAACAAAACTGAGAAACAAGTACCTCAGCTTGGAAAACTAGGTAGGCTGCCTCTACTTTCTGGTTACAAGCCCTGTTTCAGCAAAAAGCTAATGCTTATGTGCTTGATGTTATTTGTTCGCTCTGGGAGTACTCGTGTGTGAAATCAAGCACATATGCCCAGGGCCTGAAATAGACCTACATAAAGTGATGAATTTCTTCCTGCTAAATGTTTTAAATGTTTTGTCTCAAACTATTGTAAGTCCCTTTTTTTAAATAACGTTTTCTAAAAATGGTTATTACAAATATGTAGAACTTTGGCCACAATTTCATGCAGCTGTATATCACAGGACGTAAATTAAAATAAATACTTCATTTCAAAGCAGGAGCTTCTAATCAGCTAATATTCCAGGGCCCATAATTTTCCTGTTCATTTCCTCATTTTTCCAATAGTCTTTTTCCTTCTTCTGTTTCCTTTAGTCATATGCTTTCCCACTATCAGGCAAATCGGTTTGAAAAGGTGTTAGTAATTATGTACGTAAGTCAATGATTCATAGAAGTATCGTACCACTTAGACTGCTGTTTTTTGCGTGTCAGAAACTACTGTAAGATTTCTCCAAGACTCTAACATTATTCACTATTATGACTACAACAGTAATGCTTGCAGTTGTTCACAAGAAAGTTACTGCCTATCTGCGATTTAAGTAAGGTTATTCATTGGATAAAATAGCCTGTTTTGGTTTCATAGTTTATATACATATGATCTTGACTCTGTAACGAGTTTATATTTTCTTTGGACTTGCCACAGATTGAGGCTTGTAACACATTCATGTCTGGCTTTTCTATTCAATCACATGTCTAGTGTGAATATTTTCATGTAAATATTCAAGAAGCATCATGTTACCAGTCTTCAGTCTTAGCTTGAAATTTGTTTCCAGTCAATAGAATATTTGCTATACCATTTTCCAGGACACATGCAAAAGCAAAGTTATAAATCTGATATTTTTCCAAATCCCTTTATTTCCTTTATTGACCCGAGTGTAATGTTTTTCACTTTACGTAACTGCTGTTGACAGCTAAAGATTCTCACTAAATATATATATAAGTCCATCTTCATCCTCATATACTTCTTAGTTCAACATGGTCAAAGCAGGACTGGATAAATATGTTTAAACAAGAGTTTTCTGAGAATTTGAGTTGATGAAGAGTTTCATTGGAATGGTGCTTTTGTGCCTAGTTGCATGATAGACCACTTTAATATTATGGGAGTAACAGTTTTTTTCAGGTTACATATTAGCTAACTGCTAATTATGCCTACAGTCGCTTGCTGTGCTAATGACTGTAGCTGTGTAATGTTACAGATTTCCAGATAATGACAATAACAGTCTGGAATTTAGAAATGTACCGATTTCAAATCACTGTAAACATCTGTGCAGCTCAGGTGCAACATAAAATTTAATTCACAGAAAAAAAACTAATGCATGCCACGAACAAATTTATCAAGTAATAGTGACTGTTTTGGGATTAAACTAATGTTGTGTTTGTTTTCAGCTGTCCCTTGATCTTTACTACACAGAAGATGAAATTTATGAGCTTTCATATGCACGAGAGCCACGAAGTCACCGAGCTGCTGTAAGGGCCTTTCCAGATTCTTAACAAAAAGATTTTTTTTTAATGAGTAATGTAACTTTTATCCCTTGCATTCAGTTTCTTTTATTTTGTGCTAAATTGAAAACATTTTATCTGTGCATAGACTGAGTAAGATCTATTACAGCATAAATTGTTTGGTTGATGATGAAGCCTAAGCTAGGATGTATGGGAGAGTTGACATCATGTCAGGTTTTATAATATTAACACAAACACAAATGAAGTTACTTGTGTAGAGACATGATATCGGGCTCAATCTTGGCAATTAATACTGATTCTTTTAAGTGAAGAATTCTTATGTGATTCAAATCATGAAACCCATGAGTTATATTGGAGTTTTGTTCCTGTTTTATAAATATGGAAAAGACAGTGAATTTACGGGGTTGTCAATGAACTGTGACAGTTTAAGGAACAACCACTGTTTTGGACAGTTTGAGGAGCTTACTCTGAAGTACCATGTAATTATCCAAAGTATGATGTTGGGTCCAACAGGCCATTTCTGCAGTCCTGTATCACGTAGTCCATTGTCACAAATGAAAGAAGTGTATCATAGAATGGTTTGGGTTGGAAGGGACCTTAAAGATCATCAAGTTTCAACTCCCCCTGACACAGGCAGGGATACCTTCCACTAGGCCAGGTTGCTCAAAGCCTCATCCAACCTGGCCTTGAATGCTTCTGGGGATGGGGCATCCACAACTTCTCTGGGCAACCTGTTCCAGTGCCTCACCACCCTCTTAGCAAAGAATTTCTTCCTTATATCTAATCTAAATCTACCCTCTTTCAGTTTAAAGCCATTGCTCTTTGTCCTATCAATACATGCCCTTGTAAAAAGTCCCTCTCAAGCTTTCTTGTAGGCCCCCTTCAGGTACTGGAAGGCTGCTTATTATAAGGGCTTTCTGGAGCATTCTCTTCTCCAGGCTGAACAACCCCAACTCTCTCAGCCCGTCTTCATAGGAGGGGTGCTCCATCCCTTTGATCATCTTTGTGGCCCATCTCTGGCTCCAACAGGTCCATATCCTTCTTGTGCTGGGAGTCCCAGAGTTGGACGCAGTACTCCAAGTGGGGTCTCATGAGAGCAGAGTAGAGGGGGAGAATCGCCTCCCTCGACCTGCTGGCCACGCTTCTTTTGATGTGGCCCAGGATATGATTGGCTTTCTGGACTGCAAGTACATGTTGCTGGATTATGTTGAGCTTCTCATCAACCAACACCCCGAAGCCTCTAAGCCCTTATTCTCAGGCCTGCTCTTACTCCATTCTCTGCACAGCCTGTATTTGTTGTTGGGATTGCCTCAACCCCTGTGCAGGACCTTGCACTTGGCCTTGTTGAACTTCATGAGGTTTGCATGGACCCACCTCTCAAGCCTGTCAAGGTCTTTCTGGATAGCATCCCTTCCCTCCAGCGTGTCAACTGCATCTTGGTGTTGTCAGCGAACTTGCTGAGTGTGCACTCAATCCCACTGTCCATGTTGCCAACAAAGATGCTGAACAGCGCTGGTCCCAATACCAACCCCTGAGGAATGCCACTCTAATACTGAAAATATTTCCATGTGGTACTAACGAAGTTCCATTCAACTTATTCTAGCCTTTGACACCTTCCAGACCACCAGTGGTTGCAGACTGGGCCTCAGGAGTAGCCCCAAAACCTGATCCAAAAACCATCAGCAAACATGTTCAGAGGATGGTAGATGTAAGTATGGCTGGCCCATTTACCTTACATATCATTTGTAGCCTTAATCTCTAGGTATGAGAAGATAAAAAGAAGGGAAAAAATACTGAACACATTCAAAGTTTTGTTGAGTTTGTAAGCACTTCTTTCCTCACAAATAGATATTTCTGCCTAGCTGTAAATAGCAGCAGTGGCCTGTGAGATGTAGAGGAAAATTCCTTAAATGGCTAAGGAGCCAGTGGGGAGTGCGAATGCTGGTTTGTAGTACTTCCAGAGTCATTCTTCCAAGGAGCCAGGGAGTCCATTTCTACCAGGGAGTCCAACATCATGTTATTGGTGGAGTCTGAAAGTGGGCCTCTCAATGGCTTTGTTACTAGCAGCCATCACTTTTTCTCTGTCCTTTGGGTCGCCTGCTTTACTTGAAACCATCAGGTAAGCTCAGGTGATTTATTCCAAAACTGACGGAGAGAGAGAGAGGTAAAGAGTTTGTCTTTGCATCCCTGCTTCATCCTTGCCTTAGGGCCAGAGACAAACAGTAATGTCATTCCACAAGTGGAAGTAGATGTCTACATAGACAATTCTGTCATATAACTACTTACCACATAACATTGACCTGATGAAATAAGCTAGGCAGCTACACTGATCTGGCTAGAGAGATCATCACTGAGCGCACTAATTAAGAGCATTTGTACAAGTTGTATATGTAGGCCTGAACATAATGGTCTTAAAATGAAACTAAAGAAGATCTGTTTTTGTGTAGTGAACCATGTTGACTTAACTACATTTTGCTACAAATCAAGAAATCATAACGCTTCTTTAGACTTAAGCAAAAAAAGCAGTTAGACTGTTGCACTGTTGAATAGATACTGGGAGAGGAAATCCATAAATATTGTGGAGACTTTCTAAAGTGGTAATTCAGCCCATCCTTGTTATAAACTGTACTACTATTATCTTGCACAGTCTGTCTTCAAAAATTATGACCATGATCAGGATGGATACATTTCCCAGGAAGAATTTGAAAAGATAGCTGCCAGTTTTCCATTCTCATTTTGTGTAATGGCTAAGGACTGGTGAGTACCTAGTTCTGCTTATCAATTCTGTAGCATCTGTTTTGGGAGGGATTTTGGGGTTTTGTTTTTAAATTTTATTTCTATCATTAGGGTGGTAAAATCATCTCCATCACTCACAAATAGAAATGAAAACATAACAAAAGCATCTTCTGAATGTGTTGTGAATGACATCTTCATGAGCTTGCAGCAGGGGTAAGCAGGCTGATGTAGGAGGAAGAACAGATAATAGAAGAAGAAATACTTTTTTGAATGATATTCAGTATATACTACTGAAGAACTTACCCAAGATGAATGTGTCCCTCAAATATAGAGAATAGGCAAATGTGTGTTTTGATCAAATTAAGGACATTTTTCTTAACATATTAAAGCATGGAAAAATATAATAGTGATTATTCAGAGGTTTTCTGTAAAGTAGTTTTGAGGTTGCATCACCTATGCAGATACTTTGTTTGTCCTTACAGACTGCATTTGAAGTTGTAGATAAGCTTCTGTAGACTTTGGGAGCAGTTGACAAGATTACTGAGAACACTAGTTTTTGGCCCATGGAACTGTTGATATTATAAATTGTGAAGAAAGATATGTTTAATTCTCCTTATGCTTTTCAGAAAATGTATGTCTCATAAATGACTTTTCTTGTTTATTTTCAGGGAAGGTCTGATTAGCAGGGATGAAATAACAGCTTACTTTATGAGGGCTAGCTCAATCTATTCCAAATTAGGACTTGGCTTTGCTCACAACTTCCAGGAGACCACTTACTTAAGGCCTACCTTCTGCGACAACTGTGCTGGATTTGTAAGCTTACTTTTTAGTAAATTATGTTAATGTTGTTTGGAATAATGCCTTTTTTATATCATAATCACCATGTGTCATATACAGAAATGGATCTATATAAAACACCAGTGAAGCTATATAGAAACCAGGCTTCTGCCTGTGTAGCTGTTTAAGGTACCCTTTACACCCCTCTTGGCAGTAGTATCACCCGTTTAAACATGGCTCGTACCTTTCGGTGTTCAGCTGTGTCACCACACACAGTCTTAGGCAAAACTTCCAAATCCAGAGCCTTCCACTCCATGGGGCTGTTAGAACTCATGTCCTGGTACAGACATGACATGCCCGCTGCCCACAGCACAGAAAGATTTAGTAAAACTGACTGTCCTACCAATCCCCAGTTTAGCTGAGGTCAAACAAGGGTGCTGAGAGAGAATTCTCCATGTACTCCAGCTCCACAACTTCTCTGGGGGCTGTCAGATCTGCTGATGTATTCATTATTTTGTTTGTGATTGAGGAACACACATAAAATATTCTGTTTACCTTATGCTGAAGAGGTATATAGTTCATATTTTGACATTACCATTAAAAGGGCAGGAAAACAAAATATTCTGCAGATGCTGATATCTTAGAAATGAGTGGAGCTTTTAGTGGATTTTTATATCTGGAGGTATAAAATGTGCAGAGAAATGTATTAATACATAGTCTTTCTGTTTGAATTTCAGCTATGGGGAGTCATTAAGCAAGGATACAGATGCAAAGGTAAGGTACATTATACTTTGTTAATTTTAATCTATAATTGATGATGAATGTAAAAAAACCTGATCAACCTGTGATCCATTGTTTTGTCTATGGACCTATTTAATCTGACCTCTCAGGGAGGAGAAGACTGATTCAAGAATAGTATGACAGACAGATGGTCCAGGAGAAATGTAAAGATGAAGGGACTCATAACTGATAGCTCTAACCCTTTGCAAAACACTGAATTCAGAGGGTTTGGGAACAGATCCTTCTATTCCAATGGGCTCAAACACCAACACTGTGAAAACTGTGCAGCACATTCACAACATGTATTTTGCAAAGCTTTCTTCCTCATACAGGTATTTGCTTTCTCTGCAACTCCTACAGTCAGAATGCTGTTGTAACTGAATGTTGCTATTTTGTATTTTCACAATGAACATGAGTTTTAGGTGTATATAGCAAAGGGATGTCATTGGTCTGTTTACCAGGTGTATGTTATGTTACAGGTAATGCATGTAGAGAATACCAAAGAAGCTTTCTTGCTTCCTGGGCAGGCAAGACAGTGTGAGAGCTGATCTTAGATGCTACAACAGTGCCACTGAATCATGTAAACTTTGTTTTGTTTACAGACTGCGGAATGAACTGTCACAAGCAGTGCAAAGACCTGGTTGTAATAGAGTGTAAGAGAAGACCCAAAACTTCAGTTGCAGACAGCAGCCCAACATCTGCTTTTGCTTCAAGCCTCTGCCCAGTAGGAGTGAAAGAGCAATTCCATGGTGAGAAAAGATCGCATAAAAAAGATGAAAAGATGTAAATAATCTTTCTTTTGCTCCTTTTTCTTTTAAAGCTGAGTTGTACAGCATCGTTTTAGGTTTTGTTAGTCAACGGCAGTGTTTTATCAGCATACAAACTACAACCAGGCATAAGTGAGCCTGTACCAAGTAACACCATTCCAATTCTAGTCTGAGTAAGTTAAGGACTCTCTGGGAGATCTCTTGTCACCCTACGCAATGTGTGCTGCACAAATTCCACAAAAACTAAGTAAATCTTCTGCCAGACTCTCATGAGAACTAGATGCCATGAACTGAACAGCTGACAGGTTGCCTTAGCTCTCTCACCTTGTGACAAGCAGGTCTTTGTACACTCCAGTTTTTACCACTGTTGTCACCTTAAGTGACTACTGCACTGTTACCATTCTGACTCAGATTTCAGCGTGGAAAGTCAGTTTACTTACATATCTGTATGCTAGGAAAACAAAGAGCTCATTGTATTTGTTTTTTCCACTTCAGTAGCTGAATCTACAACTCTTCTTGGTCTGTCCATGTTTCATTTAATCAGAAATGAAAAATGTACGTGTCTTTCTTTTCTCCTTATATCAAACAAGCTGTATAAACTTGTCTATTGTCTATTACCATGTAGGCCTCCCAAGAATGAAGTGGTGTTCTTGAATAAGACCGCAAGCTACGTTTGTTTAGTTTTTCTTTTGATTTTGATGTTCCAACTCTCTCCATGCTCACTTTCTTTGAATTTCTCTCCTGTTTCTTGGTTGTATCCAATGCCCTTTAAATCTGCTTCTGCCACTTTGATGTAAATGGTTCATAAAAAGATTCATACCACTGGATTGCATCTTAGGCTTCCCATTAGCGCTTATGTTGAGCACAATGCAGCCAATTTCTCTTGATAACTGACCGTGTGCCTATGATTGCACCTGCAATGGCTGTAGCACTGCATAATAACCACCTTGTGGGATGTCATGCTTATGAAGAGACCAAACTGTAGTGTGTTGCCCCACCATGACCCAGTGCACCAGACTGTGGTACCACTCAGTGGTACGTCATGCCAAAGAATGAGAATTCAGGTCTAGGTTGAACGTGTAAGCCTCACCTGTTCATCCATATGCTTATTTAATTCTCTAGAGCCTGCAGCAGCTACTGGAGTGACTGTTCTTTTCCCTCGTGTGTTTGAACATGCAGTCTCATTTTGTTTTCTTCCCAAGAACAGAAAATACTTTATCTGAAACAGGTCTCTCTTAAATCCTTTAATCCCATCTCTTGCCCACTGCTTCTAACATTTTGGGTGTTTTCACTCCCATCCCTAAGTTTAGACTTTTAACTGCAAAAGTAAAAGTATTTCAGGGTGATCTGTACAAAACCAGTGTAAAATTAAAAATGTCATTATTTCACCTTTTATAAAGTGGCTGAGATAAGCTGTATCATACAGCTGCAAGTTGTGATAATGCTGAACTAACACTCACGTTTAATCTTCTAGCCCAATTACTAAGATCAATGGTCTGTATAAAACCTCTTAGCCATCTAGAGGTTTTTCTCTAGCTGACCTAGATGGTACACCTGTGTTCCTCTTACTGATCCATATTTGTGTTACTGAGACAGGGCAAAGAGTTGGTCCAAGAGACACACCATTGAGAAGCTTCTAGTGGCACATATTTTGGGGAGCAATGAACGTAAAATCAATAAAGAATTGTCGTGGTTTAGCCCCAGCTGGCAACTAAGCACCACACAGCCGCTCACTCACTCCCCCTCCTGCAGTGGGACGGGGGAGAGAATTAGAAAAAAACCCTCATGGGTTGAGAAACACAGTTTAATAGGACAGAAAGAGAGAAAGAAACAACAATAGTAATACCAACAAAGGAATGTACAAGAACAAGCGATGCCCAATACAGCGATTGCTCACCACCCAGTGATTGACAGCCTGTCCCCAAGCAGCGATTTCCGCCCCCCGGCTAACTCCAGTTTATATACTGGGCATGACGTTGTATGGTAGGGAATATCTCTTTGGCCAGCCTGGGTCAGCTGTCCTGGCTGTGTCCCCTCCCAGTTCCCCGTGCACCCCAGCCTTCTTGCTAGCAGGCCAGCACAAGAAGCTGGACTGTCCTTGACTGCTTAGCAACAACCCAAAACATCAGCACATTATCAACAGTTTCTCATCCCAAATCCAAAACATAGCCTCACACTAGCCTCTGTGAAGAAAACCAGCTCTATCCTGGCTGAAACCAGGACAAGAATAAATGTTGTTTTATTTATTAAAATCATGTTTAATTACTGTGCCTCCTGGGATGAGATCGTGACTCAATTTACCGTATATATTCTACAGGACAAGAAGAAGGACCATTCACATTTCCTAATGGAGTAGTAGAACACAATGAAGACAGCAAGGACCGAACCATTATGCTCATGGGTTCCTCAGCTCAGAAAATCTCAGTGAGACTGAAACCAGCTGTAGTTCATAAAGGTACACAGACTGATCTTGCAGTGCTGGCTGGTGATGTATCTCGTAGACAGAGAGAGAAGAAAGAACATAGGATGCCAGAAAATCCTTATCTCCAGACAGCTCCACCATCCCCATGTCCAAGCCCAATTCTTGGCCGCAAAAAGGCCTATGTTAAATGGGAAAACAAGGACTCCAGCCAGAAAATGAAGGAGGAGCATCACAGCTGTAAACCCTCGTATCAGGAACTTGAGCAGGTACGTACATGGTGAAATCTGTTTTACACAACGGTACCGTAAAGTGGTTGAAGGGTGTGGGGGAGTGGCTGGTTGGGAAGGTGTTACCTTATTCCAGTTGTAAATAATTGCTAGAACAATCCATGAGTTGCATTGTAAATTCTTAGCCACTTTAACTCCAGCAATGCTTCACTTCAAGCATAAATTTTAGTACTAGTATAGGGCTTAGGGAATAAATTTTGAAGCCCTTGTTAGGATTACACTGATACCTGTTAGTCATAAAAGTGACAGGCAAGACTGAACATAATCCAATCACTTAGGACAGGATGTTACTCCATAAAACAAGTAACATAGTCCTGAATTTCTTCCTGCTTTTGGTGGCCTCTGCTCCCCTAAGTGACAGAATATATGGGGTGAGGAGCTAGCTTTGCGTTTGTTCAACTGACAGTGAATCCCATCTGCTTTTTTGACAACTCTAACTCACCAACAAAATTTTGCAATATGAACAGACATGATGCCTCTTGCTACATTTCACCTGCATCAGCCCAGTTGTGGCTTACCTTACTCTACAAGTGTTCTGTCAAAGTAGCTATTTACAAGACTATGTCACGTCAGATTTGGCCCAAATTCAGGTTTGCAGAAACAGCACCTTTCCAGACAGATTAAAGAGACTATCACAGTATCAACACTGCGACTGATGGATGGATCCAGATACAATTATGAGGAACAAAGGGGGACTCATTTCAATACTTTACTCATTATTATCACTATTCTGAGATGGACCAACATGGTAACAGTACAACAACAGGACCACAGCGTGATCTTTGAATGATGAGTATAACTTTCAAAGTATCCTTTGCTGTTGATAAAGTGAGCTCGTCTTCTATGAAAGATGATGGGTTTATTAAGACAGAGATTAGGACAATTAGCAAGAAACTTCCAGTACAGAAGACGACTTCTTTTCCAGTCAATAGTACATTCACTATTGACAAGGGTGTGAAATGTGGATGTATTTTCAAGAACCAGTTCTTTAAAATGTTCCCTCTGTGGGAGTCCCACAGTTTACACTTGTCCTTGTTCTCTCAGCAGATCCTGACCTCAATTACTAAAGAGCAGCTGTTATAAATTAATGTCTTTGATTACTGTACATCAGTTTTTGCATTAGTAGAGCAGCAAAGCGTAAGCTGTGTTCTTGTTTCCCCTAGACTACTGCTGTTATGGGAGGAGCAGCGGAGAGTGGATAAATGCACGTTGTGGACATGACTGTCCAGATACCTGCTGCTGGAAAGTTTTAAGAGTATACCCAAGGGACAGACCAGTGACTATGGAAATGTTCAAATAAGTTGCTGGTTCTATTTCCACTGATAAGAGCTACACCAAAAACACATTCAAAATAAAATACCATTCTCTGTCTTTTTGGTTTTTTGTTTTTTGGTTTTTTTTTAGGAAAGAAATATTCTGAAGGCAGACAATGAAGGTTTAAAGATCCAACTGGAACAGGCACATAAAACAATTGAATCTCTCACAATCCAGAGAAGAAACCATGTAGTTGACAACCTACAACCCAGAGACTGCTCCTACCAGACAAGAGAGGAAATCTCCTGTGAAAGAATGTAAGAGTGAAGGAGGGGTTGTGATAAAGCTGCTTTACCAAGTGAACTGGAAAGAGTCTGAAGGACGTTAAACAGAAATACTCTTTTTACTCAACACATTTCCATATTAAACATACACTCTCAAATGTATAAATCCATTCCTTTGACTTTTTAAGGTAACTTAGCATTATCCGTGCAATGAAAATAGTATCTTCTGGGTTTGCTTTTAAAAGGAGTGACATTGTTGCTGAAGTTTCTGTTCATGATGAAGACCATGTGGATTGCCCAGTGGTTGGCTGCCAGCAGCACACCTTATTCTACAAGTGTTCTGACAAAGTAGCTTTTCATAAGACTGTGTCACCTCAGATTTGGCACAAATCCAGTTTCTAGAAACAAATGTTTGACAAAGCTAAGTATTTAAGTAAAACTGTAGAAGTACTCCATTAACAGTTCCTTCTCATTGTGCCTGAAACCAATTAAAATAATGAAGTGAGCTGTCATCTTTATTTCCAACATTTAACAAGAGTATTAAAATAAGTAGTTAAGCTACTGATACTTGATTATTTGATTCTTAGACTTTGTTAAGATAAACTGACAATTTTTCTAAACCTCTTTCAGAGCTTTAGAAGTCCTGTTGCTCAAAAGCTTACCTTTGTTAAGGTGAAATAGATGAGACGGGAGAGAGTTTACATCGAATACTGCTTCCATTTTTGTGTTCCATGCCACAGCTTGTAACACTTAGCTGTACTTATGTGGCTTAAGGGATAACTTGTTGTCCACATGCAGTAGAGATATGGGACAAGGTCGATTATTTTTCTCTCATGTCAAAGTGGATGCTGTTGTTGAGCAGAACCTCAAGGATCATATTCTGAGGGAAACTGTATAGTAATCCCAGTGCAACGGTTACTGTATTCCAGAGCTTCTAACCAAGCTTTCTCCATTTTCTCTCTCCTAGATTTCACATGCACTTTAGGTGAAGAGTCAAGATGAGTGTGCTCTTACATATGTAAATTTTGTATAGTAAAAGGTGCTAGGGAGGTAACTTAGTTTTCTTAAAGCTACATACTGTACATATTGAGAGACAACAAAACAGTCTTTCAAGTTACTGATAAATCTACTTGTCAGAATAGCCAATTTTAAAATTGCATTTGCATTCCAAGAGAAGCTGTACACTTACAGTTGTATAAAACTTGCTTGCATTTATCAAACAGGAACTTGTCATCATATTTAAACATCAGAAACTCAGGACTTTGATATGTTTATCTACAAACTCCACTTAATGCTCCTCAAAACTTGTAAGTTACAAGTCCGTTACAGATTGAATTTTAGTCAACCTATTACAATAGCATGTGTGCTTTGTGGTCAAAGTGGTGTAAATGTACATTCCATTCACAACTTACAGTCAATATCAAGTATATGAATGCTTTATTTATAAAAAAAGTCCATTTGAGACTACTTGCCAGTTTAGTGATTCTAAATTCTTGTTTTGCACTTTGACTGTGCTTGCATTGCCATGTATAAGTAAAAACAAATGGAAGGAAATAGTAGTAGTAGTAGATTTTCTGTTACCTTACTGTAAATAACTGAAATGCATAGAACAAAAGCCAGCAGCTGTGAAGATTGTGCAGCTTTTTTCCTTATACACTAAACCTGAATTATTAACAATTAACATGGAATTGCACTTTGATCAATGAAGCAATGAGAATGGCTGTGGGTCATGTCTGCAAACTTTCTGTGCTCATTTTCTGTAAGCTTCCTGATTTTGTCCTCTATTCAGGGAAATACAACAAGGCATTTAGCAAATAAAAGTCTGTTTCTGCAACAATTAAAATAAACAAGATAAAGTTGAATATATTTTCACATATTTTGAAAATACCCTGGAAGAGCAGCTAAGATTCAATCTTGTACAGCTAAGATAACTGCTTGCTTGTGGTCTAAACTTTGGATTCTAATAGAATTTGTGTGTTGGGTGATAGAGATCACTAACAAACTCTCATTTAAAAAGAAAATTCCCTAACAAACACCAGCAGCTGGCCCCCAGGCTACTGTGCTACTAGGTTGCATACTTAATACTCAATTTTGAGTTATGACCATAGATTTGTAGTCTTAAATGCTAACTTAATGTTAGCAGTGTTTCTCTGTGGTGTCTTCTCGTTCTTACAACAATCTGAATGACTTAAAAGGGACCTGCTTGGACGAATGTCTTACAGAACAAGTATGTGAAGCTTCATGTATGCTGAAAACTTCCTGCTTCAAAGAAGTCAGTTGATATCTAGAGAATTCCATAGCTCTCAAAGTACCTTCAGGTTCTCTGTTTGCCCAAAGCCCCTTACAGTTTTCTCTCTCTTCTTGTAAATCTGGTTTGGTGGTTTTTTTTGGTGGTAGTCCCTTCTTACTTCTTTTAGGACTTCCTCTCTGCTGCATGAAAGACTAATAGCAGAAACGGACAAGGATACTGCTAAAACTGACAAAGCTACTGAACAAAAAAATCACTCAAATCTGTATTAATCTTCAAACTGCTTCATGCTAGGAAAAAAAGACAGAATTAAAGTACTAAGTAAGTGCTGTTTAAAAGTCATGTTAGCAAACACTGATACTGAAATTTATCTTGTCATGGCTAATTTAAATGAAGAGCACTCACCTTTATTCCTTCTCCAGGCTCAGCTGTGTTTCATGTACTCACAGGAAGGAACTGAAAACAAGTACCCCCCCCAAATACTGCTTATTTTTTAAGTGTGGATTCTAATCATTTAAAGATAAAAGTAAATAGATTGAGTAATATCAGAATTAACAAGGCAGGGCTACTGTTGGTATTCAGATTAAACACAACTGCCTCTAAAGTAGCTTATATATGTTTTTGGAAATATGTTTTTGTTACAGTAGCAATCTGTTATTTTGTTGTAACTGATCTCTATGGCAACTTGAAAAAGTTTTGTTTTAATGCTGTTTGAGAAGATTGAAAAAATGTACAGATTGTAAAGATTTTATATAAATTGTAAGATTTCAGTTTAATATTTATAATAGAAAAATACTAAAATTGCTCTTCTTGCCTCTGAGTTTGTATCTCAAAGAAATCTATACAAGCTCTATTCATCCTTGAGTTTGTCACTTGAGACACTTCTGCTGGATTAACCTAGTACCAGAGACACTAGTCTAACTTCACCTTCTCTGAGCCTTGGAGCATTGCTTGAGAAAACTTAGGGAGCTAGGTATTTGCAGATTCTTCTTTCGCTATTTTAGTAGTTGACACAGTACAGACACTGTTTTGCTACTCGCTATTCCAGGTATTCCAAAGCACAATTCTTCATTAGGAATGCTAATTCTGAAAAGATTTCACAGCATGATAGCCAAGTTTAAACAAGGCTTCTGTACCGTCTGCTACTGCTGGCTATTACACGGGCAGCACTGTGGCACCCTAAAGACTCGCTATTTTTTACCTTGCAGTAAACCTCAAAATACCTTCTCTCAAATATGTTTTTATATAGGGTAATGAACATTCATTCAGTTATCTTCAACCATCTGAGGGAAGACAACAAGGAAAACACAATTCCTATTTATATGGGCAAATCTGCTCTACAGTTTTGCACATACAGAACAACTTGTGTTTTACTTCCTAATTATAGAAATTAAAAAAGAAAACTTCAGAAGTAATTGGAGGATATTTCCTAAGTTTACATAAAGCCAGAAGTAATGATTATATAGACCTATGTAATTTTTTCTTTTACTAAGATAAAATTTAACTGAGATTCCTTAGTAATCCCAGAGAATGTAATAGGGATATATGTGCAACATGCCCTGTCTGTTGAAGTTTTCCTATATAGTTATTTACAGCTGTCTCCACTTGGGTCAAAATATATCTGTTATTTTTCATCATCATAAAAATTAAGTTTAGCAGGAATTCTTCTTTACAAACACAGGAGGAACATACGATAGTGAATCCAAATCACACTACACAAGTGATGCAAGTAACTTCAAATACAGTACTTTATTCCTCAAGTGTTTACAGCTATTAACAAAAGTGTCTCTTTCAAATCCTGAAAAAAACCCACCAACCTATTTTTCAATTCTTGATTAAACAAAATAATATTCAGGTAGATAGTCACTAAATGTGAATAAACACAAAAATGCTCACAAACATACAAAATTTGAGAAGACGTTTAAATCAATTATTTTCATGGTATTATTGCATCTTTTGATAAATTAAAGGCATACATTATGACAACAGGACAGAAAAGGATACCTCTATGAAATGTGGTGGTGCTTACTTTAGTTTTCCACTACTGGCTTCACATTTTGGAATCACTTAAGAAAAACTGAAATGGCCAGATTAAAAACCAAAATCTCCAACCTATTTAAATTTCCATCTTTTACGTGGTCTACATAAATATAACTGAAATATGATATTGAAATAATATAACTGTTAGAATTACATGTGGGCACATAGCTGGTTCACTTGATGGTTTACTTCATTCAGAACTGTCCTGCCTGCTACAAACAGGATAAACCAGTGAGTGTAAAAGCAACGAGGCACAGGCACAGCCACAGCCACAGTTACAGCAGTTCAACTAAATCAGGGCAACTAAACCAGTACAACTTCACATCTTAAGACTGATGAAATCTTTATGCATAGATAAGCCATTGGATTTGCCTAGCATATCTCCCCGGTGAAGCTAAATGCTTGACTGCTGTTCAGAAATTACTTGTAGCAAAAAATAACATTGGGATGAGCAGACAGAATTTTGTTTTAGGGCTTTGGTTATTAAAAACTACTCTCTCCACTCCTTTGCTCGCCTTGGACGTGAAGGGTTGGCCAGCAGTGTCACTTGGTATGTCATCAATTTGGGAGCTATTCCAGAGCATTGGGCAAAAACCAAGCTCAAAAGTGAGAAAACCAGTACCATGCTCGCATGTGACCCGTGAGGGTCTCTCCATAATGACCCCAGAGGCTGACAGTGGCTTGGGCCAGAAAGGACCATAGAAAAAAAACTGGTAAAGGAACTATACTGCTAGCAGTTGCGTGAAGTTAAGCCATTATTTCAAGAGTTCACATCCAAGCTAACGTGTTCAAGCAAGGAAAACTCCTGCCCTTTTTTGCCAGGCACCTGCTAAAGTATGGGTAAGGCTGTATCTGACATTACAAGCAGCATTCTCAAGCAGACTGTGATCAGAGAGGAAATAACAGGAGAGAAACTTTTGAAGCTTATCTGAATTGAAATTTCAAATGAAAATGGTGATGGCTAATGAAGCACTCTGACACAGGCTTTTGAAAGAGATAGTAATTTGATTTTGAACAGAGCTTTACATTCATGCATAAAGCTGCCTATGAAACAGCATACGATGTACATGTTCCTGAAGGTAAAATAACACCTTTAAAGCATATCGAATATGGACACCAATAGGAAATTTGTCGAGAAAGAACTCGTAACTGTGTAACATAAAACCAAAATAAAAACCTGAAGTTCAACCTGCAGTTAAGCCTACAGCTACATACTCGAGTGCTTCAAGGATTCTGTGCTATGCAATCAACAGCCACCCCCAGGTTTATCAGATGCCTTCCCAAGTCTCTCTGTAGTAACCTGATCCTGATAAACAGCTACGAGTATATACTTTGGCATCATCCCCCTGCTCCGCTGCTGTACTCAGGAGTGGCCTCACAGCAGGAGAGGAGATCTAAAAGACACTGCACAACAGAAACTGTTTTAACGGACAGCTCTAAACTGAATTCTTGTCTACATGTATTTACAGCCATAATTGTATGAAAGCTAACTCCTCCTTCTAGAGTAACACTGCCCATGAAGGAGAAGGCACCCATACCATATCAAGACAGTTTCTTTTAGGTTGTTGGACCAATTGGTTGGCAAAGTAAGACAGCGAGCAGGCGGGGGGCGGGGGGGGGGAAGAATGGGATAGAAGGGGGGCGGGGGGGGGGGGGGGGGGGGGGGGGGGAAGAATGGTATGTTCTTTCTCAAGAAGCTCAGCTTATTCAACCTTTGTGTCTCAAGGCTGATTCAGAAGGAATATGTAACTGAACTCTTACCAGACACGATGGCTGCAGAAGTTTCCTGCCCAATCTGAAAGTATTCTTAAGAAAACACCAATAAAATGGAAAACAGGTAAACTATCAAAACTCACCATGATTCTGAGTTTACAGCACACGCTCTGACCTTCAAATAGTCTCCGAACTATTTATGAAAACACAGAACAACCTGATTTTATTAGTTTCTGTGGAGTATTAATTCAGAACGTTACTGTTACGTGAAGTTCTGGAAGAATAAGAAACCTAATTGAATAATTTTGATGAAAGCCTTAAGGATTTTAACTTTTGACATTAAAATTTGCTTACATGTCCCATGTGAAAACTAGATGAAGAAAAAAAAGCCTGAAAGCACTATTCTACAGTCTTTTAGAAGTGTTTCCATCCGGTTCTTAGGCCTATTTTGTTTTTTCTACACAGCATTTTGGAGCAGTGGAGTGGACATGCAACATGCAATAATTAGAGGCCTGAACATGAAATAGTATTTGTTTGTTTGTTTGTTTGAAAGGGTTTTATTCAGTTTTCTGACGCTTGTTTTAAATAAAATGACATATTAAAAAACACCATATGAGCAGTACGAAAAACAAGGACTTCAGTCATCACGTTTTAGTATAAAAGTTCTGTTCAGTTAACTAAAAGAATTCAATGACAACATCAGTTGGTCTAATGCAATGATTCATGTGGTCATACTTAATTCTAACCTAAACCCAAGTTAACACATCTAAATTCCTGATTCCAGTAAACACCACCACTATATTTTGTCAGTTAATCTGTTAATATTTACAGTATTTTAGTATCTTCGGTATCCCCCCCCTCCTCTTCCACCATATGGATCACCATAGCCTCCCCTGCCACCATAACCTCCCCTGCCACCATAATCTCCCCTGCCACCTTGGAAGCCACCTCCACCTCTTCCACCACCTCTGAAACCTCCACCTCCAAAAGCACCACCTCCTCCTCCTCCTCTACCCCCTCCACCTCCCCAGTTGCCCCTTCCACCACCACCCCCACCTCCCCAGCCACCTCTTCCACCACCTTCTTGTCTTTTTTGCCAAGGAGGCATTTCAGGAGGAGGTGGTTCAATCTCTGTTGGCCTGCCTCCACGGTCAGGTACTCTCCCCATCAGAACCTATGTGGAAAAACAGGTCATTTTTAGTTTAAAAACATAGTAATAACTTGAAGGGACACAGGGTTCTTCTATGGACAAATACATGCTGCCTGCTCTTTACAGGAAATATGGTCCCCTCAGTGTAGAGCTTGACAGCAGAATCCCTATTTCCTATCGTCGTAACTTGCTACAACACAATAGAACTCTGAAAGTGATCCCATTTTCCACCTGTAAAATTGAAGTAACTGCAACTAGCTAACTCATATTACTTTTGTGAAATCTTTATGAAGAAAACTACATGTATGTGAAGTATTAGTATTGCAACAAGCAATATACATAATTCATATATAAAATACATAAATATATATTCATATAGAAAAGACTCCTTATGATGCAGCTCTACTACTTAAATTTCAAAGTTCAAGTTCAAACCTAATCAGCTGGCAAAAAAACAACTGGTAAACTGATGTGCAACTCCAAAAGGAACACCAGTTTGCCTGAGATTAGAAACTACTGATGCTCAGTAGAGAGCTAGAATGGACAAAATATATAACATGCTGCAGTAACACTTCCAAAAAAAAAAGAGGAAAAAAGGGATCTTGACTTTGGTGGATGTTACTCAGTGTACAAAAAGGGAGACTGTACTGGACAAAGTTACACAAAACATTAAATCAAAGAACAATGAGGTATCCAAGTAGGTCTTCTGTTGTTGTTCTCCTATTTCCTAAACTCTCTGTGATAAGTGTTAACATACCTTGGGCAGTCACAGGCACTCCAATTAAAGTCCTCTCAGGAAAAAACAAAAACAAACCCAAAAACTTTCTCTGAGATCCTGCACTAATTAAGAAATCTCAGAATCTCTGGGATCAAAACATATTAAAGGGTATCTAAGTGAGGCAGAAAACTTTAGAAAAATCTGTAAAAAAAGGATTAATAAGAACAGGCTTAGTCCCCATTTGAATGGTGAAACTAATATCATTACTTGCAAGTGTCAGCTTTTATCATACACAAGAAAGTAGTACGATGTTGATTTATTACTGTAGCCAAACCAAATAATTTTACTTCGCAGCACTTCCACAGAAACTTCTGTGATTTATAATACACTGATAAACTAAAGACGTTGGTTTTCAAAGCCAACAACATAATCCTGGCAACAGGTAGCCCAGGAACTGATACCAGAAAGACTTATACATCTCCTTAACTTGAGGTGTGCAGTTCCACTGAACGCAAAAGGTCATTTACGCGTGCATGCACATGCAGTTCCCACCTCTGTTCCCTCATCTAGACTACTGTTTCATCCTGTCGCATGACTGACTGTGTAATAAAGATTAAAAAAAGAAGTTGCTGCAATGTTCACTGGAATGCTGCAAATCTTCCTTTCTTAAAGCACCAGATATCTTGCAAAAGGAAATGAAAATATTAAGCAAAGAGTATAATTCCAGAATTACTTTTGATAGGTCTGTAAACTCCCATGTCTTTTTATCACATCCCAGAAAGAAAAAGTATACCTTGTTGATCGCACAGACTGTATTTTCCCGTGTTGATCCACTACTTGTTCTTATGATCTTCGATAAATCTTCTCGAGCAGCAAGAAGGTGAGCTAATGTAATAGTTGACTTTGGAGATAATGCATAGCGCTTGGGCTGATAGATTCGTGCTATGTCATCTGTTTTTACCTAAATGATAAATTAAAACAGACTTACTTGCTAGGCATGAAACACACAAACACACCATAAACTATGTATTGGCCTCAGTTAAGTTTCAAATTGAGCACATGGTGTAATGTCTGAAAATCTAGGTTTTCTTACAAAATATAGAGCCAGTTGTTACCAATTCTCTGCATATCAATGGAGCTATTGTACAAAAAATGCTGCTGATTATGTTTAATTGATGTTGAAACTTAGCACTATTACAAAAGAAACTCTCCTATGCACTGGCATCAAACAGATTCTTTGACATTTTCCAACATATCTAAAGATTAAAATTTAAGAGTCCAAACTGCTCTCTCCAGAGCTTTTGTAGCCATATTTAACAGATCACTTCTAAATGTGATGAAAACAGAGCAGCTTCAAAGTAAGGTCAGTTTGGAAAAAACATTTAAAATATATCAATGCAACAAAACACTTGTATAAGCCATGAAAAAGTGAGACTGAGAAGGGGAGAAAATAAGATTTTTTCCAAACACACTTTGATGTTTATTTGTTTAACAAACAATAAAAATAAATAGACTTTCTAGGAACTTCTAGAATATACACTTGTTGGGAACTTCTAGAATGATCTTCAAAGTAAAAAACCAATTTGATCTTGGATGGATCAGACAACAGGTGCTGTTCCTTTACATGGCTGTTTTGCTAGGCAATTACTACACTATTTATGGATCCATTTCAGTCTGCAAACTTACCCCTCTTGGAGACTCAACAAGTTTAAAAAAACCAACACAAAAATGTCACATCATCAAAAGCAGAGGAAGGTATAAATAGCTATTTAATAGTGGGGGAAAAAAGGCAAGCTAACAAATAAATTAAAAAAAGGACAATAATTTGCCTCTTGACTTAAAAAAAAAAAATCTAAATTATATCAATACCGAAGTATTTTCAATCTCCAAAACCTTTTTGGAGAAGCTATAAACACACATTTCTACAGGAGAAATAAGGAAAAAAAGATTAAAAATCATATGTAATTTTGAATTAATATGTAACCTGGTTATTTCTGTAACTGCATGCTATTTCACATCAGTTGTCTTTATAAGACAGGAAAATGAATCATCTTACTACTTTATCATTATTAAAAATCTTTTTAAACTATTGTTCTCTTGTGAAAGGGTATTTATTGTTTTTTACATTGTTTGAATGGAATAATATCAAGTGACTTAAAATTTTAGTCTAAGTTAGTCATCAGTTAAAATTAACTACATTTTAGCAGTATACTTTAAATGTGAAAATATACAGTTGTATTGGAATAGCTATAAGGAAGTTGTATACATAGGGACACCTCTTGGCTTCTGTGAGCTAAATGCCCTCCTTTTCCTTTCTTGCAGCATAAGAGCATTCAGAACCCCTGCTAAAATTAAACAGTGAGCCATTCCAAAGCAGCATAGCAGCATCTAGACTCACGTCTTCCAGTGATACTTAGCAAGCTTCATGAAACCTATTCTATCTGCATGTGTCAACAACAAATTGTGACACTAGAAAGACCTGTAACAATCCATAATTTCAGCAAGCTTTCCAAGTTTTAAGACTTATCCATCTTAAGTTTTCTACAGGAACTTCTGGAAGGAAAGTCGATCTTGCAGCTCATAAGCAAAAACATCCGCCTCCAGCTTCCCACATACATATTCATCAAATTACAAACTTTTTGTATCTGATCTCCCTATCCTCTTGTATAGAAACAATATATATTTCTATCTCAGAAATATCAGACTGGTTAAATCATGAGTATTTTTTTAATATACAGAGCGCTAGGAAATAGTAAAAATGAAATTATCACAATTAAAATGATACCAGCAGAGAAAATCCAGAGGAGCCGTTTGGAATTTTTAGCCACCTGAAGGATTACAAGTAATTGTGTCCTCTTCTCATACAAGCTGCTATTCAAATAACCTGTTCAACTGACCATCTGTTTGTTCAGTAGCTTTGAATCCAAGATAGGCAGCAGTCACTGTAATCTCACTGACTTTATGGGCAGCCACTCTTTGCACCCAACCTATGTTAAGGCCCAGTGTTTTTCTTCATCTTGCATCTGCATAAGAAATGCTGAGCCTCCCTCCTAGTTTACTTGATTGGAGGCGGGTGGATATAGTAAAGAAAAAGGGGAGATGTGAACTTATTAAAGTGAGAAACCCCAACAGAGCACACTAGAATTAGTAATTGTGAAGCTATAAACAGTCACAAAGGATGGACTATGCTATCTGGTCCAATCCTTCCCCTTTCTGAATATCTAGGACTTGGATGTTACAGCCCAGGATGAGAAACTGTCTAGAAAGAAAACAACAGTAATGTAAGTGTATTTACATGGTATGTGTATTTGGTAGGAAGACCTGGGGAATTGTTGCAGACTCCTTCCTACAGGAAGCAAAAACCCCAGCAAGCTTACCTTTGCTCTATCTGACCAGCCGAAAGACTGTACTGTCACATCTAGCCTCTTCATTAACATACGTCGGCGGCATTCGTACTCACTGCGAAGAGCATCATTGATTTTTTCCAATCTTTCCTGCAGTGTTACAATAAAAAAATCCAAACATTCAAGTCTATAAATTTATAGAAGTTCAATTTAAAGTTAACCCCATTCAGCAACTAAGTTGTCTATCCCCAGGTGACCACTATAAAATTAGGAGTGCATCTGTGTAGTGTTACAGTAGTACGTATACACAAAATATTTTGAAAGTTAATAAATGGGTGAATCAATACAAAGTCTGTTTTATAACATTAATTCCGGAAGTATCTGATTAGCATTGTTAATATTTAGCAATTGAATTTTAGTATTAACATTTAACAGTGACTGTAAAATGGACAAAGTTAGATGAAGCCATGTGCATTGATTTTGACCGTCCTGTTAAATACAGAAAAGAAATGGAGACTTTTTTTTACCACTTGGTCAGAATTCAGAGGTTTTGTTAGCAGTGATTTCCCCACATGGTTATTTTGAACTTTTGAGAGAATGTCCTTTATCTGAAACAAAACACATACTTCTTCTCAGAATACAATCAATATTTACATTTATTTCAGAACAATTTGAAGTAATCACAATTTGCTACTCGTAAAATCAAATATAGCACATTTGTTTTAGCAGACGCATAAAGAGAGATACGCATCTTATGACTTATCATTCATTACAAAAACATTTCCTGAATACTTCCACTACATGACCAGCCTCTGTACAAAAATATTTTGTGGCACACCACTTCTCCTCCCAATTATAATAGAACAATATCTATATGGCAAATTTATCAAGTGCATGTAGGCAGTAGGACTAATTAAACTACTCATTTTACTTATTACTAAGTGTTGTAACCACAACTAAGGAAGTGTAACAATTGGAAGCTAAGGAGTTCTGTTGCCAAATGCTAGACTTGGCTACAAAAATCTGGTGATTGATGCTAGTAAGAAAGGCAGGAGGTATGATAGGTATGCAGTCATTCTCTCTCACTAATTTTCTTCTAATTCTATAATTGATTCCATTTGACATTATGTTTAAGACTTTTGCATTCACTCCAAATCAGCCTTGCTTATACTTTTTCCATTAGTTTTTTGCCCTCAATGATCAGAGATGAAGTATGCTCCCTCTGCCTTCCAAACTCTTGCATTCTCTTCTCTCATTACAAGAAACCTCTACCTCCTCTTCTTTGGCACTGCTCTTCTAAAACCGTTATCATGAATGCTCACACCACTCGTACATAACTTTTCAGCCAACTGACTTTTCAGCTGGAGTAGACTACATGCGTTCCTGCAAATTCCACACACGATCTTATGGGGAGAACTACATCTTCATTTGCTTTTGTAAATAATTATGGAGAACCAAGTCAAACAAGACTAAAACTAGAGTTAATTTTCTTTTACATGTCATAAGGAAGGATTAAGGTAGTGCATAATCTACAGTAAAACCTATAGCTGAGGACAGCCATTAGATATATTTGCAAGTATTTATAAGACTTCGTGTAGGCACACAGGCATTTACATTATATTTATCCTACAGGTATGGTTCAAAGCTGACTCCTCCAGTATTATCTTAGTTCATCTTGTCAGAGTTTTAAGCTCTACATATTACAGAAGTATCATCTCCAGGGATCACTATGAAAAAAAACCCTCTAGGAGACAGAAATAAAATTCTAGAGCACCTAGTTATTTGATTAAAGAAAGCTACTTGAAAAGAAGTACTTGATAAATCAACTCTCATATTCAGGGATTTTGCAATTATCTCATTTTCCTTTTTTTTTTGCATATACCAAGGAAAGAATCTTATCTCAAATTTAGTGTGAAAATCAAGGTGCATATTTTGTTCTTTTTACATCACTTTTGGGCAGCACTGTGGCAAGTTAAAAACACAATGCCTCCAGAAAAAGTCTGAAGTAAAAAATATTGTGCAGTGAGCAAATTATGGGGAAAACAGTGTTTTGACTCCAGCAGAAAAGACAGGCTAGCAGTATCTGAAAAGTGGCAATCTAGTTACTGTAATATTCCCTGCTATTATACTCCACCCTTATCAAAAAAGAGGTTACAATAAGGGGTGAAGTTCAGTTCCATGTATCCTACTGATCGCTACACTCCTCTGCTAATTCTTGTTTCTTTGCAACCTTTACTTTGTTTACAAAAAACCCTCCAGGGTTGTCTGATTTGTCTGTCTTCCAAATGTAGCCAACTTGTTTTGATTTTAGTGAAGCATGCACATGATGCTTCCCAATCTACTTCAAAATTCAAATGTACCTAAGCACAAACTATGCTTGAATATAAACAGAAGTCTGAAGAATCAAAAACTGAAGTTAATGATCAACAACATAGAATCAGCATGACAGAAAGAGATGAAGAAATCAGTAATTCGTATAGAAGGAGGAATAAACAGCAGATTAATTAAAAATTCTATTAGGCAAGAGGTGTCTATCCATATACCATTAAGGTCAGAAATAAAACCTCAAAGGTTCTAATGAGTTGAAAGGACGAGAGTCTATCAAAATGAGACTGGCTACTGGAAAAAAACAACAGAACAAAACCAAAACAAATCCTCAATGTAATTTACAGCTATAGAGTGAAAGAACATCTGAAAGCCAGTGATGCTGAATACTATCTAAAGATTAGAATTATTGCAAGTTTGCAGCTGTGAGGGCAGTTAAGAGCCAAATACAACACTGGGCTCCACATACAATAGCCATACATTCTGCCAACAGAAGTCGATCACATTAAATTACCTAACCCAGCACTGCATACTCCTGATCTCCATAAATTGAAAAATGAAAGGAAGTTTAGAAAGAACAATTAAAGAAGAGAATCAGTGAAAGTCAGAACTAGAAGAAACAAGAGCAACTAAATGAAACAATCCTTTATTGACTGGGAAACTACTTCGAAATTTCTGCAACCTTTTCTTTCGAAGTTAAAGAGAATACCTACGTAATTTTATCCAGTGACACGTTTATTAATCAGGTAACATTTAAGGAGGAATATTTTCACTGATGAACTGGTCTATGTTTATGTTTGTGACACACTGTAAAGTCATACCCAGATTACTGAATCTCCACTTTACTCCCTTACTCCCATCAGCAGGACTCTGACAGCATATCCTACAACTACACTGGTGAAACAAGCTGAGCTGCCTTGCAGTTGCAGAATACATCGTCCAGCCTTGACTGATGACAGGGCTATGAGCACAACAGCTTTGACATACACCTGTCTGCCAGAAGACAAGAATGCAACTGATGTGAGAATCTACGCTATACGCTGCATTCCTAAACACGACAGTTGCCCTAGATTCAGAAGGATAAGCAGGAGTTTAAAAAAAAAACAAAACACTACCAAAACCCAGAAAGAAGTCTGCATGTGTAAGCAGGAACAGTAAAAAAAGCAGTGCCCAGATAAGAGCAGTGAAATCATACTCATAAACAAATTGTAACAGCCAAAACACGCTAACATTCTAACATACTCAGCTGTAAAAAGCAAATCAATTAATTAAAAGCTAGATGAAGACGAATATATTTGACTATTTAACACACTGTGTAATCAATGACCTTGGTAACATTAAATATTTTTGGAATTGCTCTGGAAGCTAGTTTAAAAACAAATCAGTGATTGTATTTGTCTGAGACAAAAATATTGACTTCAAAATCTGCTGTATAAAAATATACAGTTTTTCTGTTGTTACTAAGTAAAGGATATCTCTATGTATTTAACGTGACATTTCTCAACTGTAGATTTGTGTCTATACTCCTTTAAAAAAATTTTAGCTCATATTTCACTACCACGTTCCATGTATTTATTAATTACTTTTACCCTCTGTCAATATAGAGCAATAATTTTTATGTTTAACACCATTTGCACAGATAAACATCATATATGCATGCACCTCCAGGGTTTCTAAGATTTTGAAAAAAACTGACCTGGAGAGAGGTATCATTTTATTAATTTAAGTTAAACTATCAACACTTTAAGGAAGGAACATTGTCGTAATTAGTCATAAGGTGTACTGTATAAGTGCAGAAAGATCACCTAAAATCCTAAGCACAAAATATTTTTCACTCATCCTCTGCCTCTCTTCCATTTATTGGTAGATCATTTTAATTTCAATATTAATCTAACATTAAAGACATTTTTGTTTGACCTTTATGTCTGCTGAACAGCACAACTCTTTTGTCTTGTTCCTTGCAACTACATTGATACTTATTGTACAGGCACCATTATGTCTGTAAAATTATTAAACACTAGCAGTTAAAAGCAACACACTAACTTAAATATTAATAAATTCTAGGAAGTATTCCCAAATATTTTTAAAGACAGTCTTCTCATATTTCACTTGAATGTTATTTTAGCTTAGTTTTGATTTCATTTCTTTGGTAACCCTTTATAGTTTCTTTTCATTCTCTACTCTTAGGGGACTACTTTTCACATATTAGAAAACAAATAATGTGGGCAAAAAAATTTAGAAGTCTTTTGAATAATATCATATTAAGAAGTCTTTCAAATAAACAGTATTAGAATGTCACTTCGTAATTAGGTGCAAAATTCACACTATCTTGAGTAGAAAGAAGCCAGAGGTGACCATGAGTTACAAAGCACAACACCAGCAGAAACTTTGCTGAATATTTGATCAATGTTCATTTAGAATTTATTGGGTTTTTGGTACTAAATTTCAAAACGCTTCCCAGAGTTACCCCTTGTAAATGTAGTTTACAAGGGAACAGCACCTTAAAAAACAACTTAAAAATTACTATTATTTTTTCCAATGCTCTAGAATAGAACAAGATATTTAGTGGTAGGAGGCTGTAATACTGTCAACTGATCTCTCATATTTTCTTATGTATGTTGATAACCACTACCCCAGTTTATTACATGAGATGCAAGTTTAAAAGATACTTGCTATGATTGCCTACTCAAAGTCTGAGCTACTATAAAACTCATAGTTTGAATGAAGAAAGCAATCCTGATTTTATACTAGTCTTTTAAATAAACTGACAAATGATTAAAAACAATCAATGTTCTAACGTTCCATACCAAAATACAATGTGTGATCTGTCCCTTTGGTAGATTGCTGCTGCACAGCCAAACTATTCTCAGAACTATTCCCACAGCTACTGACAATGCTGAAGATGCTAGACAGAGACAAAGAGTAGACATGTTGAAATGCTGCAGATACATTTGCAAACTCAATAAAAATACTAGATTAGTATTTAAGTTTCTGTTACAAATTATATAATATAATGCTAAAAACCAACAGTGCAATTTTACACAGAACCCAGTTAAATCAGAAGCAACAAAATATTTGGAAAAAGAAATGGGTAATTTCAAGTGTATTTTTGTGAGAATATAAACAAAAGTAACAAATGGCACTCTGAAAAAATGTTTACAAAGGCAATGAATTCCAGTTGGTGGTATCACTGTTGTAACGCAGCTACATCTACAAATGTAGGTATCTAACTCCACTGTATCAAAATAACTCTGAACCTGTCCTATAATAAAGTAAGGGATGAAGGACAAGAAAACACATAGTAGAAATTCTACAAGATCTCCTGAGAGGTAGGAAAAAAATCCTTTGTTTGCAAGGGATGAAACACGCAGAGAACAAATTACACTATTAATTTGGAGTCACGGAAGATAAACGAACTAGTTATCTCACCTTGCTACACTCACTAAACTGAGTACAAGTGATATAACCACTGTGGAATTGACAGACCTGAAAACCATTGCAAAATAGCCCAGGCAGTATTATTAAAAAAAAAAAAAAAAAAAAAGAAAAGAAAGATTAAAAAAAGGTAAGATGCTTTAAAGATTCTGCTCATTTTAGTATTTATGAAACCATAACAGTTTACATAAACTGTAACAGTAACACCCTACACACCAATTTGAAGCCTGTGATCCTATCTGAAATCTTGGATTTTGCAGAAGATGTCAGATACCAGGAGTCTAATAATTCCAAGACAGCTTTTTAGATTCTCTACGTGTGCGTGAAGGAACTGGCCCACCAGGTCTGGTCTTGCTGTCCTGCAATTGCCGAACTAGAGTCCTACCCCTGTAACATAGGATGAAATTAAATCTGTATCCAAGAAGTGAAGCAAGGAAGTGAGGATGGCTGCAGCCTACACGGATATAAACCCAGCTAACACCCATAGAGGGAGATCAACAGTACCAGGCAAATTTCAAGCAATTAGTTACTAGCTGGAACTCTGACATTTTAACCCTCAGAAAACTGTGCTAGAACTGTTTCTTCATCCTTTCAAAAACGTTTAATGGAAAGACTGGATATAAAGATTTCATTAGAACTAAATAGATCAAGCACAGTTAATAGTGCAGGAATAGGTGTTTTTACCATCACCTGGATGCTGCCTTTTATAAATGAATCTATTAAAGTTTCATCTTGTCACCCTAAAGATGTACAGATGTAAGAAAAGCATGCAAGTAACAGGCCCTCTCCCCAAAACCTCTGAATGTTCAACTGTACACTGGCTGATGAGAAGACGAAGGGGGAGGAAGAAAAAAAAAAGAAGCATAATCATGTAAAATTATTAAACCCAAGGACTCAGCAGCAGAGGGAGATTCATTCCATGTATCTCCCATAATTCTTAAAGGGCAGCAGTCACCCACTCTCTCGCCAAATACTAAGGAGAAGTAAAGAGCAAAGCTTTTAGCTGCCTGACAGAGAAGAGAAATTTCCAGCGGAACAGCCTATTTACTTCTGCAGTGAGGAAGTCAGATTAAGGATCACATCAATGAAACAAGTGAGAAACTGGTGGGATACAAGTGAAAGAACAATCCTGTTGAATAAGGTTTAAGTTGGCTTATTCACTGGCTATTGGTAATTCTGGCATTTTCATCCTCTTCTCCAACTAAGGAAATGTCACTAATAAATCAATACTTGTAATTAAGAAATTCATAAACTAAAAAGCAAAAATTTAAGTCTTGGATATTAAATTTAAATACATTTAATACATCCCAGAAATGACTACAAGTACATAAATGCATAATCAGTTATTACCCAAAGCCTCCTGCCTGCTGCAGCACATTTGAATATGTAACAGGAAAACTATGTTACTTCAACTCACACCTTAAATTTGCAGGGCAAAGTATGTCTCATCAGGTACATCCCATCCTCAGGGAAATGCCAAAATACTGCACCTCATAACTAGAACAGTTTAACTTAAACACTAAGCTGGCTTTCAGAATAAAAATTCCTTTGCACTTGTCAGAGAGTGCTTTTATGAATTAGACTGTCGGGCCCTTAACTCCAAGATGAATGCTTACAGAGATAATGCTTACAGTTTAACAGCAGAGAGAACACATAAAAGCCCATACCTTTTGTTCCGCATTGGTTAACAAGGGAGGAATATCAGAAGATGAGGAGTTTGGCAAGCCCAGCGCATCACAAATAGCTTGCACCTCCTGATAAATTTCACTGTGCTTTTCCAAATGAGAGCCTTTAATTTTCTTGCTGTGCAGTATCTTTAAAGCCTGAAGTTCTGTACTTAGAAATACTAGAGAAAGAAGTGTCATAACAGCAGATTTAGACACACATGAATATTTCTGCATCCACATTCTCATACACAAATACAATATATACATTTATAATAAGACCATGATAAAAGGGAGATTCTTTCTCAGTTCTCTGCTGGACAGGTCAGTACCAGTTTCCCATTCTTCATCTGGACTAACTCTCACCTGACTTCCTACCTTCAGACTACAGATCGTATTTAACTGCTTAACTCACTTCTGCCACCAGACCCCTAGTTCCCTCACTAGTTTCTGATTATCACACTGGTTCCTGCTGCTACTCCTTTGTCCAAGTCCAGCTTAAACCTAGACTTTGCTTCTTTCAATCCCGCTTTCAGCACCTTCAAATCATGTAGCCTTTTCGTTTAAGCTGCCCAGAAACCTCTCAAACACAGGAAGCAAGGTCTCAGTTTCAGCTGAGCTGGGATTAAGAGAGAGATCAAGGAGGCCTCCGTAGGTTGAACCATACTTCACAAAGAAATTTTAGTTTCTACTGAAATAGTTTTCTAATAGCTTCCTATTTTCCACTTCTGCACAAGTGAACTGATGCATGCTCACCTGGGTTGTAATGATTGTACACATATACTTAAATACACATAAAGAATGTAATGTAAACTGTACAGTAACAATAGAGCATGCATGTAAAATACTGTATTATAAATGGGAAAAATGGTTATAACTTACAGAGGAGTTTAAGACAATCGTCTTTCTCTCTTAATCTGTCCTTGATGTCTCCAGATATAAGTGATGAATATGGACAAGCCATTTCTCTCAGAAAGCCACTAATCTCAAGTTGGAAGCTCTCTACATCTTTATCACCTGTGAGAAGAAATAAATGCAAAGTTAATTGCTTTTTACAGAAACATCAAACTGTAACCTAATTTTCTTAACTTATACATTTAAATTGCAGGTTTCAATAGCCCAGACAAAGATTTACCATCTACCACCTTAGTAACATTTTCTTTCTTCTTACAGAAGTCCTACATACAAGCAGACAAGCCTTTTAATAGCTACAGCAATATTGTAATCGTGCTTTGAACAACAAGCCGATGCTACAGCAGTCTTTGGAGATGCGAATACAAATGAACATCACTAGGGAGTGAACAGCATATGTGACAAAGCTGCCTATCAGAGTAATTAATTTTCTGATGAACAAGTTACAGGAGTCATAAGCCCATTATTTTCAAAGGTTGTTTTTAGTTTTACTACTTTTTTGTGAAAACATAAGCAATACAAAATCTCATCCAAGTTCCAGCACTCAACAGAAAGAATGAGGTAGTGCTAGCGAGCAACTCTCGTACCTACACACAGTGCTGAATGGAACACTGCATTGGGCCAACTACCTGTAAATACCAGGCACTAGAATTTAGGCCATCAAAATATGATTACATATAACAACCACTTGTAGGATGTATGAATGTACTTTTTATATTTATGTTGATCTAAAAAAAAAAAATCCAAAAGCATCTTTTTATTTTTCTTTTGAAAGAATCTTTACAAGACCAGACCTTAATCTAAAAGGCACATACATGCAACTATCAGCCTCAGTTTTGGCTACCTTTCAGCTATCTTGTAAACTTCAACACTGTAATTTCTCTATTAGCTGAACAATATGGATCTAAATTCACTGAACAAATATTAAATTCATATACCATCTGTTGAAGTGATGCTTTCTTCCATATTACAAAGTGACTTTATTTGGGAACCTAACCAAATGCAAAGCTCAAAAAATTCTGGTGAAGACAATCCATTTTCTGCTGCTTTGTTCAGGGCTTCCTCCTCCAACAGGGGACCCGTGTACCTGCACAGAGAGGCAAACGTTAGTGATAAGAAGCAAGTTTAACATAAAATATATGTATTTCAAAATCATTTTACTCTAAGCCGATCAGTAACTACACTGAAAGTAATTAATTTTTCTAAGTTACTTTTGTCAAGGAATAATTCAGACTTTTTATAAACACACAAAAAAATGAGTGGTAATTTATAAACAAAATGGTTTCTCAGAAAATAGGAGGAAGGCATTTCACATATCATGTGTATATGAAAACAGTTTCACGTTTCAGCACATGCTAAACTGACAAGAATTCTACTATTAATTCACGTCTTCAGTCAAACGAATTTCCTTCCAACATTACCAACTCACTGCCCTAGAGCACTGGCAACAAGATAAGTAAAAATTAAACTAAATTTTACATTGTTTCTTCTCTGTTGCAGCTGAAGCACCTTCGCGGGAAGCAGACAGGCAGGCACGAACCAGGCGGGCAGCCTGGCCGGGCGGAGACCCGGACGCCCCTTAGAGAAGCCGCCCAGCCAGCCCCCCAGCCGGCCCCAGCCCGCTAGCGGCCGCTCCAGTATGACTGACCATCACGCTTTTAAACTCTCTGCACCCCAAGAAACACCCATGCAGCCGCCCTCCCTTCGTCTTCCCCCCATTACAACCAGGGCAAGCCCAATGCAGACGCCGTGACCCGGCTCCCGGGCGAGGCGAGAGGCCCAGCCCTGCTCGCCG